CAATTCCACTATAACCTTACGTTTCCTAGAAAGATGTTACCTTATTTCAAACTTGTGTTTCCTAAGCATGACCTCGCATTCAAGGAAGCAAAGGAAGAGGACACAGCTTATGCCCTATTGTCCCCTGACGCTTTCAGAGAGTGGAGGATGGCTGAAAGGTCTTAAAATTCGTGAGCCAATATTCAGAAATACCACCGCCAGCACATCAGCATCCTCCAAGCCTAGCAAACCAAAAAGACAGGCCATTACTGTGGCTTTCACTGTTCAGCTTCAGGATTTGCTTGCTCCAGGAAGCAGTGGACACCTGAGCCTTCACCATTACTATATAATAATTTAGAAATACACAAGCAAATTTATTCTCCTTAGTTGTTGTATTAGGACAGACTTGGCAAACGCTTGCTAGGTTTTATGGATAACAAAGCCAAGGACAACATGACTTTCAGAATTAAAGACACATAGTTGAGAAGACCATGTAAATTAATGCTCTTGGGATGCAGTACTCTTTGAGGAACTTTGTTAGTTCTAACTAACTTGGTTAGTCCCCCAAAGACTATTTTTTTTCATGATAAATTTTAGGACACTGCTTTTTGCAGTAGCAAATACCAACATGGTGGGAAGACTCACTAAGCATCAGTTTGAGGTCTGCAAAATCTACTGCATTCTGAAGACAGTTTTTAAGTGTATATATATGCTTCAAAATCCAGAGTCTCCTATTCTTCCTCAATCCTTCAATGTATTATCTCGTTGCTTATCAGTGAATCATTATTTCAGTAGCAAGGCTACCTTGAGGCTCACCTGGCTTTGTTGGTCTTCACAAGTTTAACCCACATACCTGGCTTGATGCAAGGACTTGTTGTTACTCACCCTCACTCAGCTTTTCCCTCTCTCAATCTTTCCACTAGCGCAACAGAAAGAAAATTTGATCTTAAAAATTCATATTCACTGGGAAGCATACATAGATTGCTAACCATTCCATGGTTGTGACTGCTAATCATTCCACGGTTTCTAAAATCTTATGAAAACAAGGATTTTGTCACCATAGAGCAGTTGCCAGAGCAACTAAGTAAGAAATCCTAAGTAAGAAAATACAGCTTATGTGAACATTAGGGGGAGAAAACCAAAAGAAAAACACCCACTCCAAAAACCCTCACAAGACCCACCAAACAAGGAAAAGGCTCTTCTGTCCCAAGATAAACTTGTCTCCAATTACACTTACTTTTAAAATGTAGATCCTCACTCTATTTTCAACTGCAACCACTGAAATATTGTGGGATATGTTATGATCAAAATAGTAAAATACTCTAAGTTGACTGAATTCCAGCAGCTAGGAAGCTAAAAGACAATATGGAAAAGTTAGTGGGTAGAATCCTCAAGTTACAATACTGAACTTTCAACTACAGCCCTAGAATATCTTGGTGGAAAAAATATCATTTGAATGTTATTTAAAGGGGAAAAAAAAGCTTATGCTGCTTGCTTTGTTACTGTCCACCAATCTTCTCTGGTGTGACATCATTATATCCCAAATTAACGGTTCTCAGGAATTAAACTGTTTTCTACTGGAGAATAATATTGTCTTGAGACCACTCCTGGCAACCTGAGTTTAGAAGTCCTCTAAAATGGCAAAACTGAGAAATCTATTTTTAAGTGACAAATAGGCTTCCCCAGATGCTAGAGTTACAGTTCTTTGGGTTTGAAGGAAAGGATAACCGCCGCAGCCTTTACAAACTCAGCCAGAATTCACAGCCCAGAAGGTGAGAGAGAACATGGGCTTAAAGCCTGTTGCTCGGGAGCTCCCTTGGCCCCACTGACGGCCAGTGGGGTGACGGATGTTCCCGAGGATTGGTGGTTACACTGGCCCTGCAGGCCTCTGCGGGTGCCTGCCTGCTTCCGCCTGGATCCCCGTAACCAGGGCTCGCGAGGGGGGCATCCGAACGCTGGCATGAGCTGTCTACTGCATGTATTTCTTTTAAAGGCTTCTACTGCTCCATCAGGACTGTGGAACTGAAGTAGGGGTCTCCCCACAAGATTATCAAATGGCTTCCTCTAAAATCCCAGTGCTCTTGTCTCACCTCAGTACCAGTGTCCCTCACCTACCCTGAGTTATTTACACGGAGATACCACCTCACAGACGTGAAACCGAAACTAATGGACACCAAATACACGTACCTTTAATGCTACAATTACAGTTACTATTTTCTTTTTAAAAACTCCAGATCTCCAAGTAAGCTCCTTCTGTGGATCCTGACTGATTCTGAAGCACTGATTACTTTTTACATAAATTCAGCTCATGAAAATTACTATTCCTTATCTTAGAAGAGAAGTTAAATCTACCTTTAAAATATTTTGTCTAGAATGTATTTAAAATGTTACACATCGATACTGCAAAATGTCCTGCTTACGTGGCATATTTCTGTGTGCCTACCACTCATGTACTTCGGTACAAATACTCTTTGCTGAATGAGCAGATACATTTTGAAAGTGATATTATTGACAATGAAAAGCATCAGAACCTGACAAAATCTTCTCATCTGTACAATAATTATTGCCTCTCAACCTACAACTGTGCAATTGACTATCTCTCAAATATTAAGTGCACTATCAAAGCACTTTATATGTATACATATATACATGCCTTGGTGCCAATCTATCAATATATTCTAAATTTGATTACATTGCTGTTGTAAAAATATGCAAAGATTCCATCTACAAGGTCTATTTAGTATCCTTCAACTATGAAAATCAGACTTGAAGCCTTTAAAATTTATGACTACTTGCTTCCAAAAAATGTGGTAATATGGGAAACATGTTGATGCTGTGCATTAGTTTTATTCTATACATAAATGCCATCTTGAGCAAATAAAAAGTCAAAATAGTATGAACTGAAAAAACAACTGTAATAAATAATTAGGGATCATATTAATAAAATTATATGAAAGACTTTTTTAGTATTTTGGTCACATATTGGAAAAATTTATTTTAAAAGCAGAAACAAATGGATACATGTGTCCATACACACAACACGCATAACACACATTTCACATAGAAGTATCAACATCTTACATGTCAGTTCCTCAAATTTTATTGCCACAACAGTATTTAGCTTTATTTTTAATAAAGACTTCCATTAATTTGTTTTAGATGAGTGTTAAAATCAAAAGGTAATACATTTCTAGAAACTGAAGCTGTAAAAAAATAGGCCTGCAAAGCCACAAATAGACCCTTTAAGCCACAAATTTTCAGATATAACATAGCTAGAGATAGGAAGTTTGAGATTGCACACCAATGTTTATGCAACTCCCTCACCACTTAATATTGTTTGTTGGAAGTAAAAATGACTAAATCCTGAGAATAATCAAACTGAGCCATGCTACACTATTAGAATCCAACAGCATTCTCGTACTGACAGTCACATACAAATTGTTTCATCCTTACACTGAACTTGAATATTCCTCTTCACCCATTCCAAACAACATTAAGACTGATCCTTCCCCCTCCCCCTTCATCCCCAATATACTCTTTAAAAATCTTAAATAATAATTTCATTTTGATTCATATGGTAGATATTTGTGCAACTTGTTGCTGTAGGAGGTATATGGCAAAGATTTCCAGTGTCAAAGTCCTGAATATATACATTGCATTGTTTTAACACCTACTAAAATCATTTGGTAATATCATGTTATGGAAGACTGAGAGTGTAATAGAAAATCATCAAGTAATGCACCTTCAAAAAAATTTCGAATGGGGGTTTCATCCTTGCTGTAACTAAGTGGCACATCTATATACCTTTACACAATATGGTAAATATGGCAGTGGTTGTCTCCAGCGTAAGGGGAAAAACATTTAAATAGGAATATATCCAATTGTAATCCTTGTTTATGTATCACATGTATGTGATTTATTTAAATGCAAAATTAACACATTACATTGAAGTATTCTGCAAGTCTTTAAAAATCTGGGATCGCTTTATTTTTCAAGATGGTATTTTAGTACTATTGACATTAAAATCTGCTGGAGCGGATCTGCATACTGGTTGAGTCAGTTTTCCATCAAAACTGATGACTGAATTAGTGCAAAACTTACTATATGCAATTTGCTTGTATGCTGTCGTAGACGACACAATATTCAGCTGTTTTTTCAACTGAATTGATTACCTATGCCAAACTCAGTTAACAAAGCAAAAAACATGTAAGAAAACCTTCAGACAATTCAAATAGCATTCAACTTGTATAAAATATATTTATCTTAACATTTCCTTTCTACCTTCCCCCACTTCAGACTGCCAGAAATGAGAAAGATGCATCTGGTAATGTAATCCCTAATCCTAACAGAAGGTATTGCTACTGGAAGAGAAATGTAAGAGTGTCACTCTATTTGTATGCATCTGGCTATCAGCTTTCTGATGCTTTCTAGGTATCACTTCATTGGTAGTAAGTATCACTCAAACTTTCAAATACTTTTATAAAAAGTTAGAAAAATATACTCAATATTTATTGCATAATCTTCCTGCATTCACCCGCTCATACATGAATCTTACAAAATGCTTTAGTACCATTTATTAGTGGCAAAAGTACCAACCACTGTGCAGCACCTGGAGGAAGGTCTTGATGTGAATATACAACCCAGTATTATGGGATCTTGAACGGGGTTTTCAGGTGTACAGGTCGGTAGTTTCACAAGTAAACCCAATAAATACTCAATACCATGTTCATACATGCATCCATGGACACACAGACCTTTCTTGATTTCATTCTGAAGCCTGAAGAAGAGCTGGTGATGTGAACAGTAAGTAACAGTCAGATCGGATAAGTCCAACAGGAAAAACTCCATATTTTATTGTCACCAAAATATTTCGCAAAAAGCTGATTTAAAAATAAATAAATAAATAAACTGTAGTTCTTAAAATTTTCCTATGAGGTCAAGAAACATTTCTGATAAAATTTTTTTAAAATTTTTTTTTTTAAAATTTTTTTTTTTTTTTTTAAATGCTACTTGTCATCTAGCTAAGCAATAACATCATGGGCTTCACTGTTGGGTCTTTGGCCGGAGTTCAGAGAAGGCAGTGGATTTCCATAGACGCCTGCATAAGAAATTCCAGAAAAGAAAAACACATTAATCTCTTATTTACCACCTTCCTTCCCTACAGACCATTTAAATAAGGTAAATTCTTTCTTCCTTAATGAAAGCTAGGTAGCCTACAAGTTACAGAGCTAATTCCTACAGGCAACTTTCAGACATAGTGCAAAGTAATGTCTGAAGGTGTATTAAGCAAAACTGGGTTTTATTACATTTTGTTATATGTGCATCAGCATTTGCAAGATGAAGCTCAAAGGTAATCTGTAGACATCCTCAAAAATTGGAAACAAGACATCCAAAGCACAGAAATAACAAACGAAAAAAAAATGAAATATCAACATTGGAATGTAGCAGTAGTCAAGTCTGCACTGCAATGAATTTTTATGTGACAGTAATGCCATACAGTATCCAAAATTTTGCAACCATTTACGCATGACACCTATCTTGAAAGCCATATTAACTTTCTAGAAGAACGGTATTAATTTTTAGATAAAAGTGCAACATTTCCTTTTGTCAGTAGCAGAGTTTAGAGTAGTAAAATTGTTCAAGACAAAGTACACCAAAAAGCAAAAAGTATTCTCAAGCATTTGTAATTGATGTAAAAGGAAAAAAAACCAAAAAGCATGTAGACTGCTACATGCAAAGCATTTCACCAGCAGAATAGTATCATGAAAGATGGCAAGAGGAAACAGGTAGAAATCAAGAAAAAATAAAAGCAGCTTTTTGAAGTATTCAAATCTCAACCTTTTTCTAGATAACCTGCTCCCTATCAACGCCTTGATGGCCTGCCAACACAAAATTCAGCTTTAATAAATCATCATTTTCCAAGAAAAATATATTCCTTTTGTTCTACATATGCAATAACTTGTGTTAAAATTGCATACCAGAGCTAAAATTAACAAAAGCAAGCAAATTGGATTACATTAAGAATATGCGTACATGTCTGTAGGATCAAGGTTTTAGCTCTCCTTACATTTAATCAGTAAAATGAGAGCACTTCTATGTTGTTGTTGTAAATCTTCTGATCTTAATAGAGCTAATTCAGTGTTACAGCAGCATGGGAAAAGCAACAAAACTGACACAAATGATCATAGGGTAAATGCAAACCTAAACAGTTGGCGTTTTGGTCGGTCAGTTTCTGAAGGTCCGGGGACTTCAACACTAGCAGACAATATTCTTTCCTATAATGAGAGAGGTTTATCACTCTTGCTAACGTATCCTCCAGTGACAACAAACAGACACTCATTACCTAGTGTTGTGCTAGAATCATGACTGGAAAAGTTGCAGTCTTAGTCAAAGTAAGTGCATAATTAAATTTATGTAATTGACTCTACTGCCTCTTAACTCTGCCTAAACATCCAACATAATGTTCTCTGCTTAGGAGGAGACAAAAATGACTCAGTATATATACTAAACACCCTGCTCACCAACACTTATATTTTTCAGTTTGCACATTAAATCAAGACAGATTTACGTGTCTGTGAACACCTAGCATTAAAGCACAGAGCTTTGGAGGTTATAACACTAATAAGTAATTGATGCTCTTTGATGTCTGGACCTCAGTAAAGGTTTGTCAAAGCTGGACCGTGCATCTGAAGAGTTTATTTCATTCATAAATAGTGCTTTCCTAATAGATTTCTTTTTTTTTTTTTGCATTCTCAGGATTTTCTGTATCTGTGTGAATCTTGTGAGTGTCTCAAAATTCCTGAAAAAACCCAAATCTTAGCCAAGAGCAGGCAATGTCTTGAATTCAGCTGCAAAGTTGTGAGCACCCTAAGTCTCCTCTGATCTCAATGGTTACACTGCGGGTCAAAAGATTGTTCCCCTGCCAACATCTTTTCAATCATTAGATTGCAAAACACTTTACTTATTATCCTTGTTTTACAAATGCACTACATTAGCACAGACCTCAGGTTACTAACTTACATACATGTCAGCAGGGAACCTAGCCTAAGTGGAACCTAGCTCCTCAGAGGATACTCTTTGCCCACCCATACTCTTGCTACAAAATGCAACACCTCCCTTAAGCATGGATAAAAATTGAGCATCACCCCTTCTCTTTCTTTCCCTCCCTACCTTTTTATCTGGTGTTTCTTTCTTGTAGCCTTCTCTCTCTATACCTTAAAAAAAAAAAGCAAGATGGTTTTATGATTGAGACCACAAATTACATTTTATGCACATGAGCTGTGTTCTATGAAAAATAAGTATCTACTTTCTAGAGCTCTTAATTCCCCTTTAGGCATCTTTTGATTCTTTGGCAGAGAAGCCTACATGTAGGTGCACGCTGCTGTGCAAATAACTTCGGATCATTAATAGCTTCTGATATGCAGTGCCACTTTAAACTTTGTAAGGGAATCTGAGAGAACTTACTTGCTTTTGTAAAAAAAGAAATAAGACTTGAAAAAAATCAAAAAGATGCTTTCTAGCAAGCAAATGGTTTAGCTTTTGGTCAACAAAAATTGGCATTAAGAAATCAAAAAAAGATGAAGAATGAAAACAACGCAGAAGTGAATAAGCAATTGAGAATGCTTTAAAAAAGTACAAACCCCAATATATTTTCACTTACCGGCATAATCTGTTTCACTAAGAGGCTCAAGTTGTCGACGTTTGAGTTTGGGAGTTCCACAGAATACTAAAGGAAAAAGACAGTCAAAACATGCCCACAGCTGCATGTGATTCTGACAAAATGTACAACAGCCAGTTTTCTTTGGGAGAAATCAAAGCATTTAGACAGGATGAAAGTAAGTAACATATTGTAGATATGGTAAATAATGATCACTTTCTCATCAGTGAGTAGTGAAGTTTCTGACTCTTTTTTTTGTGAAAATAACATCTCCCCTACCCCAGAACAGATCAAACCAACTCTGCTGAAAGTTCACACCATGAAATAGAAAACTGCATCAAAGACTTCCTAAAGTGTCAGGTCTAGCAGAATATCTCTGGATGAAGGCCACTCCAGTTTCATCATTCCCAAAGATGTATGTTAAAGGATAAATAACCACAAATTGAGACATCAGATATTTTTTGTTAGTACACTTACTTGGTATAAGAGATGATGGTGGTTTAGGCTTTTTGGGAACCATGTCTTCTCCACTCTCAGGTACAACTCTGTGGCATCTTCTTAACCTTAGTATCCTACTTTTATTCTTCTTGTTATCTATACCAAACAGAAATAGAGTAATTCATGTCATACAGTTATATTCAGAGAATATATTAGATCATCTTTTAATACAGCTGTTGGGGTAAGATAGATCAGTGTTTCCAGTCCAAATGTACACACAAAATTATGTGCAATGTAAAATTTACACAACATTTTGCTATAGAAAATAAACTGTAAGCATAAAATATACACAAACTCTATGTTTTAATAAAGAAATTCAACTTAGCTTGATACTGATGGAAAGTGGACCACCTATTTGATTATGACAAAAATGAACCTGGTTTCAGCTACAGTAACAGTCACACCAACAAACACACACTTTTTCGAAGTAGATTTTCCAATACAATAACCTAATGGTGCATTTTCATGTTTTCAATAGATTAAATTGACATGTGGTGTCAGGAAAAATAATACGAGAGAGGGAAGGACTATGTGAAAAATAACATTAAATGACACATTAAAAGGCAGCAGTTTTACCTGAGTCAGGGGATTCTGGGGTATTCTGCTCATTCTTCTCTTCACACTGCAAAAGTTCTGTAGCTGCAGAACTGGATGTTTCTAGTCTATTATCATTTGTATTTTGGCTATTGCTAATTGATAAATTCTGGGCATCCATTTGTTCGTGTTCTTCTTGCGAAGTCTCCAAACTCTGCTTCTTTTGATCTTCAATTTGCTTTTCATTCTAACAAAAAGCATAAGATTTTTTTTAGCAACTTCTAATGCTGTAAACTGACTAATAAGACAGAAATGTTATATTAAAAATGAATATATTTGTAAAATATTTTTATGTCCCACATCTAGCATAGAAAATATTTTCAAGTAGGTGAAGAAATTAGATTTCCAATATCCTGTCCAGAAGGGGGAAAAAAACCCAAACAAACCCAAACCCAGAAACCAACATTTCCCTCTCACCCCCAAGAATTAATAGCAAAAGTAATGATCTTTAGGTTTACAGCCTGTTTTCTTGCTTTTGGTCATACAACCCAAAAAAAAAAAAAAAAGCGCTAGCCATATAAACAACATCAACAATCCTGAGCAAAATGTTAGAAAACTCCTAATTTCTAATTCTTCTTCAATTTTTTAACGTTTTAGTTAAGACAAAATAACAAAATACCCATGAATAGGAGTTATATATCAAGAAAGTGCTAGCATGGATTGGTCAAATACCAATTGTGTCATACAGACTCTGATAGGCTGTTTCACAAGTTCTGTATCACTAAATCACTGTCTCTGCAATACTCGCAACTATACCCTTCTCGTCTTACTTGGAATATTATCATTAAGGGTATTATTGTGCATGTAGATGACACTACAAGATATATGAATACGGGTGCTTTTGTCCCAGAGGTAAGCAAATGCTTGAATTACTGGAAAAGTCCCTGAGAGTTTACGTGTTTCTTGAGATTATGTTACCTCAAGTCAACTGAATTAAAAAAAAACATGGTACAGTAAGAACTACCTGAACTCTGAAGAAACACAGGTTAAGGAAATTTTATATATTAATATGCTTTTCCTATTTCAAAGCTAAGAAAAATTCTTAATTGTCTCAGTTTTCAAGAGAAAACAGGTTATGCTCAGAAACCTATAGTTTAAGGAGTCAGGGAGATTTTATATGACTCACTACATCACTAAAACACTTTACAAGAAACTAATAGACCCTGAATATTTTCCACTACTGAATATTCCACAGTTTTATTGGGTAATGTGTTCAGTCATCTGTTTACAATACCTTTATTTTACTGTGTCTGCAACTTTTTTTCCCCAAATCAATAACAGGGAATTTTCTTAACTTGAAAGCATTGATTCAATGCACACAGAACAAGACTGCCAAGATGAAATCAAATAAATAAGATAATGCTGCGCAGACAGACTTAAAACAATTCTTTTAAATAAACCATTTTTTTCATTAGCTTGCAAACATTTGTTAGTGGGAGGTCTAAACCAATCCACATTTCCACATATTCTCATACCTGAGAGATTACAGCCAAAATAGGCTGGAAAGGGTTTTCATTGTTCCCAGGCCCAGGGTCGTCGTCTTCAACAGATACAATTCCTTCTCTTCTTTCCCTTTGTTGTTGTGTTTATGTTGTTGTTTTAGTGTTTCGGTGGGGTTTTTTTTGTTTGGTGGAGTTTTTTTGGTGGGTGGGGGAGGTGGGAAGAGGAAAGAGGGAAGATGAACAAAGAATTAATAAAAGAACCAAGTCATAGGTTTTATGTAACAGAGAACACTTGTTAGGTCATCTAACTCATCCTCCAATTTACGCCATTTGTATTTTTACAATATGCTTCTGCATTTTGAAAAACATTCTACAGAAATGACAATGTCAGGCTAACGTCAGTAAAGAACAAGTATATGTTATGGCTGAGGTAGAAACACATGCTGCTATCCACCAGAATTTTCAATCAGCACTTCAGGAAGTGAAGCAGTTTCTGAGGACAGGATATCTGACAGAATACATCTGTACCTAGAAGGTTTTGGTTGTTCAACGCTATGCTGAAATTTTCACAACAGTCATCTTTTATAATAATTGTTTCAAGGTATTCAATTGTCAAAAAAAAAAAAAAATCTACGTGGTGGGAAACCAGACTATCCAAAACCTCTCCTTCTATTTTTAATACACCTCTATTTCTCACAGTTCTAGATTCTTCTGAAAATACGTAAGGGAGACCTGATACCAGACTGTTTGGTTTATGTAGTACCAGTTATGGAATCATAGTTGCTTCAAGTAAGCTCAGAAAGTTCAGGAAGACACATAATCCTCAGCATACTGTTGTTGCACCAGCACTAGTTACTTTTTGTGTACCAGAGCTCTATGTAAGAAATATTAAATTACTATGTATTAAATAATATATCATTAATAAAGTATATGCTCATATAACACTTCTCAGCAATCTATCTTCTGGTACTTGCACACAGGAAGTCACTGTTACACCTACTTTACAGCTGCGAGTACTGAGAGAGGAAGTAACCCCCGTTGGTCAGAAGCACAGATGGGAATGAAAAGGAGGTCACTGATCAAGCCATGAAGCCGTACTACTTGAAATTAATGGCCAGTATTGTGTTAAAAAATTATTGGCACTACTTCTCCCTGGTTTTCCATTTGGAACAAGATCATTGCTACATACTGTAGAGGAAATGCACTTTCAGAAAACATTCAGGGAAGGAAATCTGAAAGCAGTCTGGGGAATTCATAGAATCATAGAATGGTTAGGGTTGGAAGGGACCTTAAAGATCATCTAGTTCCACCCCCCCTGCCATGGGCAGGGACACCTTCCACTAGACCAGGTTGCTCCAAGCCTCATCCAGCCTGGCCTTGAAGACATCCAGGGATGGGGCATCCACAACATCTCTGGGCAACCTGTTCCAGTGCCTCACCACCTTCTCTGGGAAGAATTTCTTCCTGATATCCAATCTAAACCTCCCTGATTTCAATTTATACCCATTACCCCTTGTCCTATCACTATTAAAATTAATTAATTAATTAATTGAAATTAATTATTTTAATAATTATTAAAACACATTATTAAAACACATAGTGAAACAATTACACATGAATCAAGAATAACCTGTTTCTTACAGTAAGAAATTGATTCGTTGCAAACCAGCAAAACAAGAGTTTTGTATCTGAGGCAAGCCATCAGCTATAGGTAAAACCATCAGAAATTACTTGTTAGCTTCCTCTAAGACACAAGGAGTTTAGCAAAACTTTTAAGCCTTTAAGCCAATTCAGACCCAACCAATCCTTCCAGTGAACAAATGCAACTGAGATCACTGCGCAGGAACAGAATGTGTGGAAAATGCCCGTACCAGACAATCTCTTGAGGCATGTTTCAAAGCCAGTCCTTGCTACACCTCTCAAGGTGGCATACACCCAACACAATCCAACGTGGCTAGAAGGTTTTGCCTATGCAGACATCTGACCGACTAACAGCATATGCATTTTTGGGTAAGTCTGTGAGATATCTACAAAGACTGGTCAAATTCCAGGTGTTTAGGATTGTTTACTTGCTGAAGTAAACTAAATCAGCAAGAATACAAGCCAAGACACTTCACAGCATCTTCACAGTTACTTCTCACAGTAGCTGAGACTCGAAAATCTCTGCATATATAAGGGGGACAGAGGTGTTCAGTGCATTTTGTAAGAATGCCCCTGTAAAATGATTCCGACCAGTCTCTAATAGTAACTACGGTAGGCTGCTGATGACCACAAAGGGTTTTGAAGGGAAGTAATAAATCACTTGTCCTTCTTCCCCTTCATGCATCATATTAAGTCCCTCCATGCCTCACCTGCCAGATATCCTGAAGTATATTAAGCACAGTCTTGAATAAAGTTTCACATCTAGACTTTGATATTCACATATGGGTTACAAAGTCTAACTTAAGTTCAGAAAAGTTTCTTTTAGTACACACTTGAAGGTAATTTAACATTAAATGCCAGGATTTATTTTGTAGGCTAGCCTCCTGTGAGGTTATATTAGCAAGGCCAAATTTATCCCCCAGCTACTTTGCAATGCTCATTCATGGTACATTTCCAGTATAGAGTGAATAAAATAAAGGGGGTGAAACAAGCAAAAACTTAGAGATTTTAAAGAAAGGCCTTAACATTCAGGCTCTTGGCTTGCAAGCTTTAGATCCTTAATAGTTTGGTTTCCAGAATCCTTACGTACAGGAATGAATTGTATCTTAGAGGAAGGGAGGAAGGTGAAATTACAGAGACAATACCTTTCTTCTCGTATCTTTCTCACTCGTTCGGCTCGTTCTAGTTTCTGCTGTTCCTCATAGGCTTTTTGTTCTGCTGTGTCTACTTCAATGCGCTCATTTAGGGTATCAAAATTATTCGCTATGTTTTCTAAAAGCCAGTATAACCCCTTTTTTATTGCTTGATCAAATTTTTTTCCAGAGCCCATGATGGCTGAACAAGATTCCTGTAAATGTAAGGAGAAGAAGGAGGGGAAAAAATATTTGTAGTTCAGATCACATTCCTTGACTGAAAATAGGAAACTAGCCAAACACCTACTGTTTACTCTGAAGTTTGCAAAACACTGACAAGCATGGGAAATAAACTTGCATATAGGTATTCTATAAATTTAGGTGCTTTTTTGCCAAGATACAAATCACATTAGTTCTACCAAATTCCATGATTTCCAGTCCTTTTCCAAAAATCATGTTTGCATGTCTGTCTCTAAACAGACATATATGTATACACCTGTTACATATAGCAGGTGTACATATACACACACCCGTTACATATACACCTGTTACATATAACATACGTACATATAACACATATATATAACAGGTGTATACGGAACAGGTGTATATAGGTACATTTACACAACTGTTCCTATACACACCTATATGTATGCATCTATACAGAAATGTAATTTATCAACCTCAAATACGTATGTTCTGTTCTGCTACTGCTTTATAATAGCCCATGCCATATTTATCTAGTAAAATGGAAAAAATGAGATGCAAGAGAATCAGCTTAGCTTCCATTCATGAAAGAAATATTAGACTTATTCATAGGCAGCTAGGGGATAAATAAATCCAGCATGAATTTGTCAGAAAAACTGTCAAACCAAATCACTTTTTTAGATTGGAAGAAGTATTGTGCATAGGGGGGGTTTGATTGCAGTAAAACTTTTGTCATGATATTCCTATCACCAGGGAAGAGAAACATACTGTAGGCAAATCTACTGGAAAATGGGTGCAAACCCATTGTTACTAGTTTGGAATACTTTATTTAGTTTGCATGCCACACTGCAAGGAAGCAGACTGACTGGAAGGAATCATGAGGAGTGCAGTGAGAAAAATCAGACAAAACTGATTATAAACATGCATCTGGTAAGAAAGCAGAGGAGGAACGAGAGTGGTTCCTCTCTTGAGATAAAAAAGCTTCAAGAAAATATGATAATAACCTTCAAAAAAATAAGGCATAACTGCAAATAGGAAAGAATCATTTGCTCTTCATGTTAACAGTCAGAGGACCACTATAATTGGCTTTAATGAAAACAAAAAAAGAAATGGCTTGAAAGTAGCTTAGAACATGGAAAAGGACTATATGACCTCTCAAGATCACTTCAGAACTATTTTCCAGAATGTTTTGGAGCACTGTATGGGTCTTTTAAACTTTTCTCTGGAAAACAATTGAGCAGATCTAGCTATGTATTTGACATGAAGAAATAATATTTCACACTGATTGTGTTCAGGATTTGTGTTCATGAATGAAGATTAAAAAAAAAAACCTAACTCAAAAGGTAAAAATGCTCTGTTATCTCTTCATCTGACAAGCATTTAAATGGCACCAGTCAGATATGGTATGTACAATTTAACGACAGAAAAAAAAATTATTCTGACCTGTTATGTCCCCCCAGAGTGCCAAACTTAGTTTGCATTCTAATACATTCCTACGTTGTCAGAATCGAGGCTCAGATATGAATGCTGTTTACTATAGAACGCTACAATATTCTCTAGCAGAATCTAATCCAGGAGAAGATGTATAGGCAATAATACCTTTTTTCTCTGAGAAAACCATGATAAAAAAATAGACAGCACTGGGGCAATTTTATTCTAGGATTGCACAAAGATTACTGTAACTGTAGTCCAGTTATAAAACACAGAGACTCAGAAATACAGAATAAGCAGACATATTAAAAAAAAAGGATGGTCATTCTCACTGACCTTATGTAACAGTGAGACACATGACTATGTCCATTTACTTTAATATTTTGCGGGGAAATTTAAAAATCCAGCAGAGAAAAACTAATAAAAAGAATAACAAAAGTTTCTTCGGTCCTTGCCTAATTTTATTTATATCCTGTTTCACAATGCCCCTGTTTAAATTCAACCCATGAATCAGCATACTGAAATCCCTTGGGACCATGTTTACCTCTAATGAGCCTAGTAAAGAAGCTGACCATTTGAGTATGTAAGACTCTCAGCTGCTTTCAGCTAAAATGACTTAACAGTATGTGATCTAGTTTCTTGTTGATTACACCCAAGATAAAATTGGAGAATGAGAACAGCATTTTACTGGAACATGGAATAAATTAAATAATTCTGAAGTGCTTGAAAAATACTCTAGAATCTTTCAGGTCTTTTATATTGATATTGCTTTGCAAGGACATATTTTTGCCACAGAAGACCCTCAGAAAAAACACCTGTGAACCTGCAATTGTTATGTTTATGGTTGCTCTATATGCATAGTGCAAACTCCACTGACTGAAGAAAGGCCCTCAAAGAGTGATGACATAAGGAACATCACCATGCCCTGCCATAACCGAAATCCCAGGTGGAATGGTTTTGCAAAACTGCCTTCTAATTTTGGTTAATAACAGCATAACTCTCATTATCCTATAAAAGTTTTCTTATTGAAATTAGAAAAAGATTATAAAAGTAAAGCCCACAAATAGTTAACTAACAAGTGGAATAAAATAAAGGCATAAAAGCAAACTTCAAGGACTACTGCTTTGGATAAAGTATCCAAAATATTGATCAATTTTAGGTAGCCTTTATAAAGATTTCTGATTTTGTCTTCCTCCCTCCTCCTTTTTAAAAATTATTTATTTTTAAATATGACTCTGAATACTACATCTGAAATTTAGTTCTTTTTGGACAGGTATTAACTATGTCTAACAGTGTTCTTTGATGACTACTGTTCTGGGAATTAGATGCACTAGGAATTAGATTAAGTTCTTACTGTTTTCCAGACAGTAGCTCACACTAAATGATGGTTTTAGCTACAAGCAGAAATGAGACAAACATCACATGTGAACAGTGGGTCTTCCTGAATGCCAACATAGGTAAATTCAATTTCCTGCTTCTTTTTAAGAAGGCAGAATACTAACCTTGCTGTCCAACTAAGCAAGTTTTAAACCACACCAGTAATTTTTCTTACATGGTTTCAGCGTGGACCAGCAGGTACACTTTGTGGACCTTGTTGTAAAGATTTCTTCAACAGGGCCACAAGCAGAATGTTAAGGTGAACAATAGAATTGCTTGCAAAACATAGGTACTCTCTCAGGATGGCAGGGTTCCAGTTTCACTTTTACACTATGTGGCACAATGCCCCACCTTACTGCAAGCCTTACATATATATTAGAAAATGAAGCATCTTAAAATATACTTACAATATGACATGGGCATTTGTATTTATTGACGAGTTTTTCCAGAGACAAGCATTCAACTAATTCTGCTGCAGAGAGAGACATTTCTTCATCTCGTTTATTCCCCAACCTAAGGATAAGATCAAAAGAAACAGCACTCTCACGAGAGATTCTCACATCTCCAAAAACCAAGTATCTAACAAAAAGTAGGAATAAGGAGAAACTAAAGAGAAAATGCCTTGTTTCAGCTTTAATTCTTAATTGTTCTTTCTACTTAATAAACATGTTAGTCCATGCACTATATTCAGCAGATACTAATATTAAATAATTACTACATAACCACAGCAATTAAATTTTAGAGCTAAGAAGATGGATATAGAAGACAATGTTGTTCTACACCTAAAGCCACACAGTGCAAATCTGTGGAGCCTATGGATCAAAATTTAGAACTTCAGCAAACTCCAGATAGTACCATCTTCCGAACACAGAAATGATTGTTACTCCCTTTTATCATGAATGTTTCACTAAAAACTCTTTTGTATATGAACTGAAACTGAAAAAGCTTCCGATCTGAAGTCGCAAAAGGTGCATCAGAAACTATGTGTAAGAAAAAACAAAAAATGCCCCAAATTGGATGGAACCACCTCTCACAAAAAGGCAAAATCTTTTCCCCGAGACTGTCCAAGTAATATTTTTCATGACACTCACAGGACTTTACTATCCTCAAGATCTCAATTTCTTGATTAAAATGGATTTAAATTCGTCAACATCCAAGATAGGATAGATTATTTGCATCATGATCATGTATGCCTCACTTCTTTAGGAAAACAGAGTAAAATCTTCTCAGTCATCCCCTAGCAACATACATTTATCTTAATACATGTATTCCATACCTGCTGATTTCAAATATATCAGAAAGGGATAAGACTGGCAGAAGCAAAAACAAGTGTCCATGAAGCAATGTGTAGAAAACACCCTGTTAAGCTTTTTCTGACAAGTTTACCTAAGTACTTAGGAACATGTTATCCAAGCAGATGTATTCCCTAAGAATAAACTTAAAGAGAGTATACTTGCAGCCATGCTGGTGAATGATTTTCTCAGTTCACTTACAAGCAAATTTTAATAGCAAATTTAGATAGAAATCCAAAATACGTAAAGAAACAAAAATTACTAAGAGAGATAAACATATGAAATCATTCAGGTTTCTTGAGGGTCTGAGAGTTTTTTAAGGAATAAACACTTCTTCACTTAAAAAAGGTCGAGTAATAAAAGAGCTGTTCCCATCTCCTGCAATAACTCTTAGTGGCAATAGGATACACAGTCTTTCCTCTGCCATTACCTGCTTTTAATTAAAACCTAGTATGGTAAATCTCTATGGCCTCTAAAAAATATTAAATAATTTTACCTGCAGTAGACTACTCCTGTTCAAAGTTACTATTTTTCAGCATGAAAGCTGGTGCTGTTTGCCTTGAGGCAGTGTAGACCATTATGGAATATAAGCATACAATGCAGTCCTATTTTGCACTTTCTACAGTAGTAATAATCCCAGCTGCAAAGAGGTGTATTGCACAGCATTAGGGAATCTGAAAATTACACTTGCCTCTCTCTAATAAAGGAATATCCACTAAAATAACTTTCTGAAATTTAGCAACTCTTCCATTACATGAGAACTATGATTCAACTTTCTTCATAAAATGACAAATATTTGGCTTCCATGAAAGCAATGGCAGATGATTTGGGAACGAGACATCATAACCTTTCTTCTGAAATCTCAAATCATCATCATTAACTCAGACGGCTTTCAGGGAATGTTAGGCTAAGGCTTGTACTTGGGATTTATCATACTTCTTGCAGGGAGTTTCCTACCATGGTAGAAATTCACTCCACAATTAGCAGAACTTGTCAGCACTTCAGTTTGACCTAACACCTTATTCCTTCCTATTTTCCAGAATCTTAGTACAAGAGCCTCAATTCTTCATTATTTTACACCCAAGAGAGTTTTTAGCTTCAGAGAGACATTTGGAAAAAAAAAAAACAGAAAAACATTCTTGGTCACCACTAACCTCACACACTATGAATCATTACCTAATCTTCCATTGCAAGAAGAGTTTATGAAGGAGAGCCTTGACAGACAGCTTCTCGAATATCCATTCTCTCTCAATCTTCATCAGTCATAACTATTTGTGGTCCAAAAGGTTCACTTATTTATCATATTCATGGGAATAAAATCCCCTACATCCTACTGATGATCAAAACTTTGCTGACCTGCCTGCAGAGCGAGAAAGAGCACAAGGCCATTCTTCCCCCTCACCCTCCTTCGTTAATCTATTTCCACCACTCAACAGAAAGAGTACTTCTACAGTGCAGAGATTTCCTAACTGTTGTTCAATGCCAATATAGAACCTATGACATTTTCAATATGCCTATGATATTTGGCAGTATTCCTTCTCACCAACCAGCTAGAACAAGTGACATGTCCCAGTATTTAGCTACAAAGTACAGCCAAAGCTAAACTAGCGAAAAACCAAAAAGAAATTTAAGAAAGCTATGAAAAATAATTAAAAGATTGGAAACAATTACTTTCACTTTTTTTCCCACACAACCTATCTTTGCCGTAGTCTGAAAATCTGGCTGTGCTGCCCCTTAGTCTCAAAAAGCATTCCTTAGCAGTCCTGCCAATTCACCTATATCTAATTGAAGAAAATACTTCTGAACACAGAGTTTGTTGCCACAGCCTATTTCTTTCTCAACTCAAGATTAATTAATTGTGCTGTTCACTGTGTTATTGGACCACACATTCTACAAAGCACAGCTGAAGCAGAATGAAACGTTGATCGGCTGCATAGCTCAGCGTGAGTGTGACACTATGGCCTATAACTTGCAGTAGCTGCTGATTTTTAACTTCTAATACCCTGAAAGGTATAAGATTTGTCTTTTCGGTCAATCAGCTTCCATTTTGTCTACAGCATTCCTATTGCAATACCGACTGTACTCAGAAAATACATCTGAGCTTGCTTTATCTGGAAAAGTAGCATATCCAAATAGTGGTCTCCACCTTATGCTCCCCAAAAACCGAAGTTGTTTTGGACAGGTCATATGTTTCCTGCTGTACACCCCTGCCCCACTTCAGCCTTCAGGTCAAACTTATAAATGCAGTTAAAATATTTTCAAGAGACTGGCTGTGATACAGGGTATTATTAGGCTGGACTTCCCCTCCCTCTTTCAAATAAATGCACGACAGACCTAGCCTTGCCTCCTTTTTCTTTTGTGCTTCACTGCAGAAGCAAGCCATTCCAGCACTTACACTTGTGCCTTATCCGTAGGCTGTGCTCCACTTTCAGCTTAGAAGGCCTCTGCCCAGGGAGCAGCTCCCAGACACTTCCTGCTACTGGGCAGCTCCAGCCCTGATCCGCCTCTCAGCAAGGCTGGGTTTCAAACAGGCAGAACCAGATTCCCCAAGTAGAAAGTAATCAATTTGCCTGTCTACTGCAGTTGCAGAAGTCAGCTTCTCTCACACCACGGCTCCTGAAGATGAACCCTTGGAGCACTACGTAAGAACCAGAAGCGGAAGGCATGCAGAAAATACTTAATGGAATGCCACTCAAGGCACATTACTTAGGCAAATATTCGAAACAACGTTTTTCAGATTATACTGAAGCTCACCCTCAGAAGTTTGTCTGTAAAGGATAAAAGCCACCAGCACAGGATTAAAAGGTAAAGACTTTCCTTTTACTCAATGTTTATAAAGTTGCAAATATCAGGAAAAAAGCTGTGTAGTATCGTTTAGAATGGAAACGTGCCTAAATGTCACAATAAACAAATAATGGGTCTCTACCCTGCAAAGAATTGGGTATTTCTCTCAGCTTCGCTACCCATGCACAGGAATGCTAGGTTTTGAAGGAAAGTTTTATGCATAGAATTTCCTTCTTTACGGAATACGTCCGAGTTATCTTAAAGGATAAACCTTGATTTTAATTTTCCAAGTCAGTAGAACTTCATATATAGCATTTTTTCCTGTTTAAAAAACTGTAGGAGGTATATATCAAAACATACTTGAAAGCACAAGAGAGTGTCTGTTGGTTTATCATACGAAGTTTGCTGAGTGAGAATCTTTCATATATAAAATCGTGCTTGGCTTATTTCAATTTCACATAAAGTATATTTGGAACCTTCTCGGTGTAACAAACTTACTTTACCTAAGAAACTACTTTTATATCAAGTAGGAGTTTTTTAAGCAACTAGAGAGCTTTTGAACTTTAAGAGTCATGGGAAACAATGTGGAAAGGGAGTGTATGTGTGCATTGGCACAACCAACATGTACAGTTCAGTAACGATACTTTTCTTAGAAGCCAGAAAAAAAACAAGTCTGAAGGCAAACTATGTGTGTTCCTTGACCTGCTGAGTAATGAGGGAAAATTAAAAAAAAAAAAAAAAAAAAACCAAAAAAAACCCACACAAAACCCACGGTACTAAAGTTTACTTTACAATCCAAAAGACTGGGGAAAAAACAAAATCTAGTATCAAAAGGACACATTTGTATCTCAGTTTTCATCAAAAATCCAAGAAGTGTTACAGAAAGAGTTTATTTGGGAAGAGGGATTTTTTAAACCCTGTTACTTTCCAATTTATGCCTTTCTTGCCACTTGTGTGGGATTCTCATAAATGTGGGATTGCAGTGGGAGTCAGTAACGTAACACTGGAAACTAAATACCATAGAGGGGACACGCTGGAGGGGTAATCTGTAAAAGTGTCTCAAAGATGCTGCTTTTGGGGTTAAGTTTAATCAGAGTCAGTTATCACAAATACAAAATTTTGGGTCAAACCTGCATGGCAGCCATCAAAATTAAAGAGCAAAGCATCCTTGAGGGCACAATATTACAGTATGAGAACTATACAGGATTTAAAGCAACTTAAGGAAAATGTATCTTTATGAGGATGATTTAGCCAAGATCAAGAATATTAGTCTTTAAGGGTACTTCAAGAATCCATATCTTTGAGTGACAGAATTAGCAAACCTGGGAAAACAAAGAAGAGAGAATCTTTGAATTTAACAACAGTCTACACATGGGAAAGAACAAAGCCATACTCTTTAGTCCTCCTTCGATCTTCTATTAAACAATGCTGTTCTAC